GCAGCTCAAAAGACTAAAGAGTTGGACCTGGTGAGTCATCCAGGGTGCAGACGGAACTGATAATTTTCACCCAATCTGGCCATAGAAAGTGGTCTATAGCTGTGACCAAACGCAAGTGCATGGCTGAGGGCAGCTTCAAAACAATGGCCTGTCATTGAGACTTGCATGAGGCAGATGAAGACATTTCAAAACAAAGCGTCTTCATTTCTGTCTGCGCTGCTGGTGTACATTTTTTCTCTCTCTCTCAAATGAGGCTTTTCACCTCAATCAGGTAGCTTGCTGGTATGTAGAAGTGGGGCTCCAGAATTATGGTCTTATCTTGGTATGGACTACTATATTTTAACCCTCTGCTTAATAAGATAATTCTCTTGGGTAATACTTCATTACAAGCACAGCTGAGACAAAGTCTCTTTCTCCACAGGCATTGCTTTCATGTATACAAATATATTCCAGGTAGCTTAGTACAGACCTTGTGGTGAGTGTGTGAAGTGTTTATCCGTTGCACTCAGGTGACCATCTGCTTTAAAATTTAAGCCTTCACTGTATGTGTCCTGATAAATTGTATTTAGTTTAGTTTGGTACATCAGCAATTTTGGATAGTCTGCTTCAGTGGTGCAATAGGTTAGCGTGTAGTACTTATACAGCAGTACTTGTGAAGTGATGCTGATGTTGTGAGTTTAAGCCTCACCTAGAGCACTGCCTTTAAGTTTACCAGGGTTTCTTTCCTTTAAGTACCAAGAGGCCCTTTGGGCATCAGAACTGGGGGTACCAAAGGCACCATTCAGAGGGCTCAAATGCCTCTATACTAATGCTAGGAGCATGGGGAACAAACAGGAAGAACTTGCACTTCTGCTTGCAGATAATAACTTTGATTTAGTGGGGCTAAAGGAAACCTGGTGGGATCCTACCCATGACTGGGTGGTACGCATTGAGGGCTACAGGTTGTACAGAGGGGACAGAGTAGGGAGGAAAGGGGATGGGGTTGCTCTCTATGTAAAGGAGTGTTATACATCTACCCTAATCAAAATAGGATCAGAGGAGGAGAAAGTTGAGGCATTGTGGGTTAGGATACATGGAGGTCATGGGGAAAGGTACTTGGTGGTGGGGGTCTGCTACAGACTGCTAGACTTGGAATTCTTGAGGCAGCTCTCAGGCTGTACGGTCTAGGGATGTGGTTGTCATGGGGGACCTAGACTACCCTGACATCTGCTGGGAGGAGCAGTCAGCCAAATCCAACCATTCACATAGGTCCTTAACCTGCATGCAGGACCTTCACCTAATGCAAAAGGTATACAGTCCCACCAGGGGGAATGCCTTACTAGGCTTGGTGTTGGCTGCAGGGGAGGACCTGGTAGGGGAGCTGCAGAATCATGGTCACCTTGGGGACAGTGACCACCAATCAATCAAATTCACCGTACGACATAGGGTGGGTAAGGTAACTAGTAGGGTGGAAGTGCTTGACTTTAGGAAGGCTAACTTCAGCGTGGTTAGGAGTCTTGTCAATGACGCACTGTAGAAGAAGAGTATTGGAGAGATGGGAGTCCAGGAAGGGTGGTCGTTCCTAAAGGAAGCAATCCTTTGAGCGCAGAGGGAGACTATCCCAGTATGAGGGAAAAGGAGCCAAAAAACTTCCTTAGCTAAACAGGGAAATCCAAGGAAGCCTAAAGGCAAAAAAGAAGGCATATAGGCAGTGGAAGCAGGTGGAAGCTACCAAGGAGGAGTATACCTACTTGGCCAGCACTTGCAGGGAGGCAGTTAGAATGGCGAAAGCAACTAAAGAGCTGAGGCTGGCAACACAAATTAAAGACAACAAAAAGTCTTTTTTTTAGGTACGTAAGGAGTAAAAGGAAGGTGCAGGGCAGCATAGGACCCCTACTGAACAAGGAGGAGCAATTAGTGACAGACAAGGGGTACAAGGCTGAGCTATTCAATGAGTTTTTTGCCTCAGTGTTCCTGAACAGGGCTCAAGATAAGTCTCCTAACGGGTTCTTAGATGGGTGTCAGAGGGACACCAGCCTACCAATTGTCAATGCTGACTTGGTGCAGAGTCACTTGGATGGACTGGATGTGTTCAAGTCAGCAGGACTGGATGAGCTGCATGCGAGGGTACTGAAGGCCAGTGTCATAGCAGAACCACCGGCACGGCTGTTTGAGCACTCATATCACTCGGGTTAGGTCCCAGAGGACTGGAAAAGGGCCAATGTGGTCCCTATTTTCAAGAAGGGGAGGAAGGAGGATCCTAGTAATTATAGGCTGGTCAGTTTCACCTCCATCCTTGGAAAGGTCTTTGAAAAGATTATGAAGGATCACATTTGTGGGAGTCCAGTGGGAAAAATAATGCAGCAGGAAATCCGGCATGGATTTGTAGCAGGTAGATCATGCCTGACAAATCTGGTTTCGTTTTATGACAGGGTCACAAAATGCTTTGATGTAGGAGCAGAGGTGGATGTCATTTTCTTGGACTTTAGCAAGGCCTTCAATACAGTACCTCATCCTGTTCTCATAAATAAATTAAGAGGCTGTGACATAGATATTTACATGGTCCAATGGGTGGCAAATTGGCTTAGCGGTCACACCCAGAGAGTGGTAGTAGATGGGTTGGTATTGACCATGAAGGATGTGGGTAGCGGGGTCCCACAAGGTTCGGTCCTTGGACCTGTACTCTTCAATATCTTCATCAGTGACTTGGTTGTGGGTGTGAAGTGTACTCTGTCCAAGTGTGCAGACTATACTAAATTGTGGGGTGAAGTGCACACTCTGGAGGGTAGGGAACAATCGCAGGCAGACCTGGACAGGTTAGAAAAGTGGGCAGTATACAATAGGCTGCAGTACAACAAGGACAAGTGCAGAGTGCTGCACCTAGGGCACAGAAATATCCAGCACACCTACTAGCTGGGAAGTGACCCTCTCAGCAGCACAGAAGCTGAAAGGGACCTTGAAGTCATAGTGGAATCCAAGATGAACATGAGTCGCCAGTGTAACAAAATCAAAGCTAACTGGACTATATCATGCATCAGCAGATGCATGACAAATAGAGGGGAAGTATTACCTACTTGGATCTATATGGCATTGGTCAGACCGCAGTTGGAGTACTGTGTCCAGTTTTGGGCACTGTACTTCAAGAAGGATGTTGATAGACTTGAGAGGGTCCAGAGGAGGGCCACTTGTACGGTTAGGGGCTTACTGGACAAGCCCTGTGAGGAGAGACTGAGGAACCTGGACCTCTTCAGCCTCTGCAAGAGAAGGCTGAGAGGTGATCTTGTGGCCACCTACAAATTCATTAGGGGGATGCAGCAAGGGATTGGAGATGCTCTGTTCACCAGGGTGCCTCTTGGGGTAACAAGGAACAATGGTCCCAAACTTCGGGATATCTAAATCTGGACTCTGTCAAAGCTTTTTCATGGTGAGGGTGGCCAAAATTTGGAATGGGCTTCCAAGGGAGGTGGTGCTCTCCCTTACCTTGGGGGTCTTCAGGAGAAGGCTGGATAGACATCTGGCTGGGGTCATCTGACTGCAGTACTCTTTCCTGCCTAGGCGGGGGGGGCGGGGGGGGCGGGGTCAGACTCAATGATCTTGTTAGACCCCAAATCCATGCAGACCCCAACGGCTAGGGGGGTGAAGATCCAAT